GCGAGTAAGATTTGCGCACCAGAACTCGCTCTGGCCTGGCGCATGTCGTGCCCGCGTGGTGACCACTGCGTACGAATCTACTTGCGCGGCTCGCTCGCGCGGTCAAAACCATAGACAATATATTAGGACACTATTATATTATTTACTTGTAGTACTAACTAAATGAGACTTACTTTTATGCGTAAACGCAGAATAGAAGTCTAACTCTACACGGAGTTCGCGGGGTAAAGATTTGCTACAGGAGGAAGACTGCATCACGGACGGCAGGGTGTTAAGCTATTCATCAGAGCCCATGCAATCTCGCGTTCGCTGAAGCGAAAAGTTGTTGAGTTTTTTTCGCCTCCGAATAACTCGAGTTCGCCCGCAATTATACGTAGTCGTGCCTATTGTCGTAACGCTCTGTTAAATGATAATAGTTAAGAATGACCGCTATGCGCCAAACTTCTCTGATGACGGGAAGATCATCAAATCATTTTGAAAACGGAAAATACTGCGGCAGCGGCCAGGCGGCGCGGCAGCGGCGGCGGCGGCAGCGGCGGCAGCGGCGGCGCGGCAGCGGCGGCAGCGGCGGCTGGCGGCGGCGGCAGGCGGTCGGCGGCAGCGGCGGCGACGGCGCGCGAGTGGGCGGCGACGGCTCGAGAGGAGGCGGTGCGGCCGGCGGTGGCGCGCGTGCGGGGCGGTGGAGAGTGGTGGGAGGCGGCGGGGAAGGAGGCAGTTTTGAGAGTTTTCGCAGAAGCGTGATCTTTTCTTTCCATAGGTCAATCAAGAACATAGGGCCTCTAGTGAGCGTGTGCCAATATGGTTGAGCTTGTTTCGTCGCTCGAATGACGTCAACAGTGTCGATAATATTCATGCACATCCAAAATTCATAAATTATTAATAATCCTCACATAGTCGAGCGATTACAGACGCAATTGAGCGCTGAAAGTCGGTGATCGAATCCCATACGATTTTTAATTAATTTTCCTGTTTATCGTATTTTTCTTCTTTATCCGATTTAACAATATGTTTTTCAATTAACATCCAAAATATTTACATGACTTTATTTACAAACCAATTATAACAATAAAGAAATTTTTACACAATTAAATAAATTTTATTTTTTTTATTTAAAAAAAAAAGATGGGTTTGGGTGAAGGGTTAGCGGTCACAATGCAAATGAATGCGCCACATAAAACCAGGAGTTTGAGGCACTGATTATGTATCAACAATGGCAGCGCTCACTATGAGCCTATGTTCTTGATTAGACCTAGGAAAAAAAATCCGCTGGCAGGAAACAATCTCGAGGTCTTCGGATTGATCGCGGGTCGAATTTTCGTCGCTCTCGAGCTCTGACGGTCATCAGTTTACGTGCGTCACGGTGATTAGGAGAAATCACCACCGTACGTGGGTCGACTCGATTTTGAGTTCGCGTGAGGAAAAATGATACTGCCGTACGATGGCAAATGATGATTGCCTGAGTAAGTGTAATAATTATGCTCCGCCCTGCATGTTCTATTGGATAACCTGCAGGTCGACGTCGCCCACACGTCGCCGCCATCTTGGAAATCACAACACACACGCACGCACGCACACCACCACGCATCCAGCAACACACATCATACACGCACGCACACACGCACGCACGACACGCTAACACAAAAACAACACAACACACATACCCCTACACACACACACCTACGCACACCTACGCGGGCGCCCGCACGCAGTGGCACAACACACACACACGCAACAAAGACCCCCCCCCACACACACACAATGCACACCACACACTCGTCGGTGGCTCGTAAACACCTTAATAGCTGCACTTCACTTGGAAACTAGCAGCGACAGGCGCGCCATGTAGCCGAAGCTGAGGAAAGTGCGCGCCACCCGAACGGAAATTATCACGGACCGGAAACGTCAGGTCTATGTCTGATTTAGAACGTCAGCGCTATCGTCGCATATAAGCAACGGCGGGGGCGTAGCGAGGTGACAATCCGGCCTTAATCCGAGTTTAATCCGGTCCAGCAGGTGACACGTCCGGCCCAATTCAGTTCAATCCGGTTCACAGGGTGATAATGCTGCGTTTCCAGAAATAACCGTGCGCACTAACCTCAATAACAACCACGGAGTTTTTCCGAATATTCTATGGGGACATTCAATCAGCGGGATATTATAGTACGAGCTAAGTTTAGCAACGGCGTACTTGTCCGCCCGCTTTGCACGCTTTACGCGCGCGCTACTCGAACATGTTCCAACTCGCTCGCAGGAATCGGCATAACGAGGCGGGACGCGCACGCAACCGAGCCGGATTCGAACGCCGAACAAAGCTACGTTTGGTTGATTGGCAGAGTCTCTTTCGCGCCGTGCGTCAAAACGTGTGTCACACAATTATCATCGCAGATCCCGACGTAAACACACATTAATCCGTTCCTTGACCGCGCAACCAATGCTCGCCGGGGTAACCGACAGTTCCCTGCGCCGCAACCAAGGCTCGCCGATAACCGACGTCTCTCTGCGCGCCCACACCAACGCTCCGCCGAGGTAACCCGAGTTCTCTCCCGCACGTGAGCTTCCCGCCGTGCCTAACGACGCGGTATATATAATACTACTATATGACTTATACATACGTTAATCCACGCGATGGCAGTTTTTTTAGTATCGGGGTGTATTATTAGCCGAATCATGTGGCGCGAGGGAGAGTTCAGCGACCCCTCAAACTGTCTAATCAGCGGGAGAGTGGGACACCGAGAACAACGACAGGGATTTCATGCATAGATCATCAATGAGTACATAATAGGAGATTACTGTCATAATCTTCTCATTATCTACTCATGATATCTATCATCGGCGCGCGGTGTGGCTAGTGGCGTGTGTCTGTGTGTAAGTGGGTATGTGTGGGTGTGTGGTGGTGTTGTGTGTGTCGTGTGTGGCTCTCCTGTCCTGTGATGTTGTGTGTGTTAGTGTCAGTGTGTGCTGTGTGTGTGTGTCGTGTGTGACCTGTGTGACTGTGTGCGTTGCGTATGTTTATCGTGTGTCGTGCTGTGTGGTGTGTGTGTGTGTGTGTGTGTGTGCTGTGTGTGCTGTTGTGTGTGTGCGGTAATGTGTATTGTTGTGTGTGAGTGTGTGCTGTGTGTGTGTGGTATGATGTCGTAATAATATATATATATATATATTAGTGTGTGTGTGTGTGGTGCGTGGTGTGCGTAGGTGTGTGGTGTCGCGCGTGCTCGCTTGAGCTGGCGTTGGTGCGTGTGAGTGTGTGTATGTGCGTGACATACATGTGTATTACGCGTACACGAACGTACGTGTATACGTGCATGCACGTACATAAGATATCCATGCTTCAATTAATGAATGCATTGCAAGCCACTCTACTTACGCCAACCCTACGTGCGTGAACCCCAACCACCACCAAGCCACCATCCCACCTCTCTTCAACCACCACCCCAGCCACCACCCCACCTCTCCCCAACCACCACCCAGCCACCACCTCAACCACCATCACAACCACCACGCCACGCACCCCACCTCTCCCCAACCACACCAGCCCACCCACAAACCACCATCAACAACCACCACAACCACCAAACGCAAACCACGCACTCAGCCACCACCCCACCTCCCCAACACCACCAGCCACCACCTCAACCACCATCACAACCACCACACACCACCAACACAACCACCACTCAAGCCACACCCACCTCTCCCCAACACCCACCCCACCACCACCTCAACCACATCACAACCACCACTGCCCAACCACCACCCCACCACAACCACCACCAGCCACCAGCCCACCTCTCTCCACACCACCCCAACCACCACCCAACCACCACCCAAAGCACCACACAACCACCACCCCAACCACCACACCACCACCCACAACCACCACCCCAAACCTACCCCACACCACCCAATCACCACCCCCAACTACCACCACAACCACCACCACAACCACCACCACAACCACCACCCAGCCACCACCACAACCACCACTCCAACCATCACCCCCAACCACCATCTAAACCACCCCAAATCACCTACAATTCCACCCATCACCACACCCCAACTACCCCACAACAACCACTCCAACAATCACCCAACGCACACACAACCACCGCCCAGCCACCACCACACCACCACCACCAACCATCACCCCTAAACACCACCCAACCACCACTCAATCACTTACATTACCCACCACCATCACCCCCCACTACCACCCAACCACTTACACCAACCACCAACTCAACCACCATCGCACTACACCACACCATCCCTTACACACCACCCCCAACCACCACCCAACCACCACTCAAACTCCACACCAACACCACCCCACCGACCACCACAACAAACCCAGAACCACTACCCCCCAACCACACCTACAACACCACCCAACCACCCCCAACCACACCTCATTGCAACCACCCAACACCACCCCAACCACCACCTCCAGCTCTGACTCGCTTCTCTCTCGCTACTTGTGTTCTCAGAGTGTGAATCCGGCCGCACTGTCGCTCATGAAGAGACCGTTCTGCAACGCGTTCCCGGCTGCGAGTCGCTAACAACAGCGAGACCGACTCAAGGCGACGATCTCTCTACCAAGACCATCGAGACGGCTGAGAAAGATTGTCACGAGGCGGCGTTGTGGGAGGCACTCCGGATAGGCTGAGCAGCAGCAGCAACAACAACGTTGAAGTACACGGCAGCGATATGTCGCAAAATGTGAGTATGTGTGTCGGCGCATGTAGTTGTGTGTAGACCGCGTCGTGCGCATGCGTGATCACGATCACAGCCGCGAGTTCCGTTACGTCGTCTTAATTCGTCTTTTCATCATCATTGCATTATTATTATCATCATCATCATCATTATATTATTATTATTATCATCATCATTGTCATCGTTGTTGTTGTCGTGCTTGTTGTTGTTGCTTTAGCTGTTGCTGTGTTTTTGTTGCTGCTGCTTTTATTGTTGTTGTTGTTATTGTTTTTGTTGCCGCTGCTGCTGTTATTGTTATTGTTGTTGCTGTTGTTGTTTGCTGCCGATGTTATTCATTTGAGTTTAAACAGTTTCTAATGTCAACAAAGCGCGGGGCTTTCTGCTCACGAAGGCGACAAGCACGGCCGACCTTCTCGTTTTAATAGTCTCGAGAACTTCCTGTGTAACCGGAAGCCGTAACATGACGAGACACACAATTTCAGACGACGACGTCTCGGCCAGTAACCGCTGCCGGCCCATCGCGACCACTGGTCCCCCCTCGTTCCAGACAGTACCTCTCGCGGTGCCCGCGGTTCCCTCGAACGTCGTCTAACCAGAATCACTGCTAGTTTACAAGTTTATGTTACAGCGTTGATGACGTTCGGTGTTAATGTCGTTAAGGAAATGCGCTGATAAGCCGACACGCGCGGCGAAATGAGATAACGAGATGAGCTAGACTCTGTGAAGTAATTATTGTAATGTAGGCTAAGCTTGAATAAGCCTTGTTATGTCAATTATTCGCTCTTATCTAAACAATAATAAGCTGTGTCGTTATCGATCTTTCACGCGTTTTATTTTATTTGATTCGTTAGTTATTTCGTCTGTTTGCGTTAGGCTGTACTGTTTGTGTAGAGCTGCGACATGAAACTAGGTGAAAGGATGAAAGTCACAGAAACAACACGCACGCACGCACACACACACCACTTCTCTCGTTCTCTGCTTCTCCTCTCTCTCTCCCTCTCTTTCTCTCTCTCTCTCTCTCTCTCTCTCTTTTTCTCTCTCTCTCTCTCTCTCTCTCTCTCTCTCTCTCTCTCTCTCTCGCTCGCTCGCGCTCTCTCTCGCTCTCTCTTTCTTTCTCTTTCTCTTTCTTACGCACACACACTATGTGGAATATGTATCACTAATTGGTATAATTAGATCAAAGGCACGATACACTTATCAGTCGGGTTAGTAAGACAGCGTATGCGACAGGTAATAAAGTACATCTAGCGGTTTAATACAATAAGAATTCAGCGTCGGTGAAGTTATTGTAAATATGAATGAATAAATAAATAAATAGTTGTCAGTAAGAAGATAAATAGATGTATTCCAAACCTTGCGACTCAGTATCAATACCGTCGATACGCGGTTATAGTTTAATATTAAAATGCGGTGATTATTAAGTATGAATGATCTATTTACAGTTAATATTTTACAGGCGCGTCCTTGTGATAGCCTTGGCTGCTATAATAATATCAGGAGTAGATAATAGAAGAATTATTATAATCTCTTCTATTATCTACTCCTGATAATATGCATTCTAACGCAAAAGCGTTCGGTCCATCGTTCATCATTTCGCCATATGAAAGCCACCTTACAATAATCGAAGGTAGCAGCACCGAAAATACGTCAATTCCTCGCGATAAACTACGTTGAATTTTAAATTAAAGCGAACGCAAAAAAATAATGTTTATCAGTCTCATTAGGCTGCTCATTGATCAGGGGACGGAGGAATTAGAGGCTTCCGTTGAGATAACGCTAGATGTCGTTCGTATCGTTTATAGTTGCGAAGGACCGCATTGTTACATTTTATCGGATGATTGCATCAGGAGCGTATTATATAGACATTACATCTCTATATAGATATCTATATTATACACTCCAGAATGCATGTGATCACATTGAAGTTACTACGGAGATCCTACTTTCTACCGAATGCGCATTCTTAAATGTCATTCGAAGCGGTAGTGTGAGCGGTCTTGGCGACGTGAGATGCAAAGACTAGTATACGTTCATTTCACAGAAAACGAGAGATTTTATTTATCACGACGGCCTGTGGGGAAAGACGAGCTGTAGGTCTGGCCGAACTACCAAGCGGTCTTGCGCATCTTACGTCGTGGCTGCGGACATGTGGGTCGGGGGAGAGGCAAGGACCCGTGGCTACGTGGCGTAGATCCACTTTCACTACCCCGCGTGGGTAGCAGGGGCCGGGATTCTTCTCTCCATGACGCAGATCCACTGTTACTACTCCGTGCGTGTGTAGCGGAGCCCTGGACCAGTCTCTACGCGACGCAGATCTACTGTCACTACTCCGCGCGTGTGTCGTGTTCGTCTACCCCATGTGCTGTTTCGACTAGCCTATCACGCCGACCCGAACGTCAGCGGCTACAGGGAAGCGTTTACTTTTTACATTCACTAGATAGCTAGCTGCATTTGCGTTTTCCAGATACAAAAGCGTCCGTTCTGCAACAGCATCGTCGGCTGCCTCAGCTCAAGAAGGAAGCGGTCACTGGCATCTCTCAGACGGTCGGCGAATGCGATGTAAACAGGCACCGCTCGCACCGCCGCGCGCGCGCCATTAATCACAGGTAATCAGCGAGGCTACAACTGTCACCTAATCCAGGCACGTCTCTCCTGGGATCGGTAATGTCCCTATTATCTACTCCTGGTAATATCCAGCTAGTGGTGGTGGCAGGGTCGTGTGCGCCCACGCGCAGGTTGGACACGCACGCCATGCCACTGTAACAAGCATAGATACGCACTGTCGCTCATGAAGAGACCGTTCTGCAACGCGTTCACCGGCTGCGGTCGCTACAACAAGCGAGCCGACTCAGGCGACGATCTCTCTACCACAGACATCGAGACGGCGAGAAAGATTGTCCACGAGGCGGCGCTGTGGGAGGCACTCTCGGATAGGCTGAGGCAGCAGCAGCAGCAACAACCGTTCGAAGTAACGGGCAGCGATATGTCGCAAAATGTGAGTATGTGTGTCGGCGCACGTAGTTGTGTGTAGACGCGGTCGTGCGCATGCGTGATCACAGTCACAGCGCCGAGTTCCGGTTACGTCGTCTTAATTCGTCTTTCATCATCATTGCATTATTATTATCATCATCATCATCATTATTATTATTATTATTATCATCATCATTGTCATTGTCGTTGTTGTTGTCGTTGCTGTTGTTGTTGCTTTAGCTGTTGCTGTTGTTTTTGTTGCTGCTGCTTTTATTGTTGTTGTTTGTTGTTTTTGTTGCCGCTGCTGCTGTTATTGTTATTGTTGTTTGCTGCCGATGTTATTCTTTGAGTTTAACAGTTCTAATGTCAACAAAGCGCGGGGCTTTCTGCTCACGAGGCGACAAGCACAGCCGACCTTCTCGTTTTAATAGTCTCGAGAACTTCCTGTGTAATCGGAAGCCGTAACATGACGAGACACACAATTTCGACGACGACGTCTCGGCCAGTAACCGCTGCCGGCCCATCGCGACCCACTGTGTCCCCCCTCGTTCCAGACAGTACCTCTCGCGTGCCCGCGTTCCCTCGAACGTCGTCTAACCAGAATCACTGCTAGTTACAAGTTTATGTTACAGCGTTGATGACGTTTCGGTTGTTAATGTCGTTAAGGAAATGCGCTGATAAGCCGACGCGTGCGGCGAAATGAGATAACGAGATGAGCTAGACTCTGTGAAGTATTTATTGTAATGTAGCTAAGCTTGAATAAGCCTTGTTATGTCAATTATTCGGCTCTTATCTAAACAATAATAAGCTGTGTCGTTATCGATCTTTCACGCGTTTATTTTATTGATTCGTTAGTTATTTTCGTCTGTTTGCGTTAGGCTGTACTGTTTGTGTAGAGCTGCGCATGACCTATGTGAAAGGAATGAAAGTCTACAGAAACAACACGCACGCACGACAATCACACACCACTTCTCGTTCTCTCTCTCTCTCTCTCCTCTCTCTCTTTCTCTCTCTCTTTCTCTCTTTCTCCTCTCTCTCTGCTCTCTCTCTCATTCTCTTTCTCTTCTCCTAGCTTGCCGCTCTCATCTCTTACTCTCTTTCTTTTCTCTCTCTCTCTCTCTTTCTCTTCTCTCTCTTCTCTCTCTCTCTCTCTCATCTCTCTCCTCTCTCTCGCTCCGGTCGATTCGCGCTCTCTCTACGACTCTCTCTTCTCTTTCTTTACTCTTATTATCGCACACACACTATGGTGGAATATGTATCACTGATCTGTATAATGATCAAGCACGAATACACTTATCAGTCTGGCTTAGTAAGACAGCGTATGCGACAGGTATAAAGTACATCTAGTCGGTTTAATACAATCAAGATTCAGCCCGTCGGTGAAGTTATTGGTAAATAATACGGAATAATAAATAAATAGTTGTCAGAAGAAGATAAATAGATGTATTCCAAACCTTGCGACTCAGTATTCATAGTCGATACGCGTATATTTAATATTAAAATGCGTACAGATCGTTCAGTGATTTTAAGATGACATGATCTATTTTAGTTAATATTTTACAGTGCGCGTCTTGTGATATCCTTGATGCCTATAATATATGCATATCTAAACGCAAAAAGCGTTCGGTCATCTTTATATTTCGCATATGTAGCCACCTGTACATATCGACTTGGTTCAGCAGCATCGACATACGTCATTCCTCGCCCGATAACTACGTTAATTTTAATTAAGCGAACGCAAAAAATAATGTTTATCAGTCTCATTAGGTGCTCTATTGATCAGGTACGGTAGATATTTAGAGGCCTTCCGTGAGGATAACGGCTAAGATGTACTTAGATATCTGTTGTATAGTTGGGCCGCATTGTTGACTTTTATCGTATGATTGTATAGGAGCGTATTATAAGACAATTACATCTCTATATTAGATGTATCTATATTATCACTCCGAATGCATTGTCACATTTGAAGTTACTCGGAGATCTGCTTTATCGAAGCGCTTCTTAAATGTCATTCGAAGCGGTAGTCGTGAGCGAGTTTTGCGACGTGAGAGGCAAAGAATGGTGTTCATTTCACAGAAAAACGATGATATTTTAGTTATCACGAGGCCTGTGAGGGGAGACGAGCTGTAGTCTGCCGAACTACAAGCGTCTATGTCGTCTGACGTCGTGGGATCGGACATGTGGGTTCGGGTGAGAGCGGACCGTGCTACGTGCGGAGAATCACTTTCACTACCCGCCGTGTGTAGCAGGGCGGTCACTTCATGACGCAGTCCTAGCTGTCACTACTCCGTGCGTGTTCTGTAAGCGGAGGCTTCTGGACAGTCTCTACGGAACGTAGCATACTACTGTCACTATCTCGGCCCATGGCGCGTGATGTCCGGTGTTCGTTCTACCCATGTGCTGTTTGATAGCCTATCACGTATACGACCTCAACAGATACGGCAGCGGTACAGTGGAAGGTTTAATTTACATTTAACTAGATAGGCTAGCTGTCATTTGCGTTATTTCCGTACAAAAGCGTCCGTTCATGCCGAGGACAGCATCGTCGCGCCTCAGCTCAAAGAATGGAGAGCGGTCACTGGTCATCTCTCAGACGGTCGGCAATGCTGATTGTTAAACAGGCACTCTCTCGCAACCGCGCGCGCGCACATTTAATCACAGGTAATCGCGACAGGCTGCACTGTCACCTTATCAGGCTACGTCTCTCCTGAGGTGGCGCTGATCTTTATGTCCCTATTATCTACTTCTGGGTATATTCAGTCAGTGGTGGTGGCAGGTCGGTGTTCGCTCCACGCGCAGCGTTTGGCACACCACGCATGCCACTGAACAGAGGCAGTGATAATAGGTGATATGATTTAATTTATGCGAGTTGTTATATATATGGGGTGATAGATTAGGTAGTAGGTAGCTATATATATTATTCCTCTTATATATTATTATATATATATTATTTAATGTTCATATCTATGATTAGTTATGGTTGCTTGTGTCCTGTGGTGTATCTGTTCTACATCTATCGCTTTGTGCTGTGTGTGTAGATGAGGCAGTATTTACAGCATGTAATGTATACATTAGTGTGCGACCATTGGACAGGTGTACAAGCCATGATGCTCGCACCATAATTATCCCATTCATCTGACTGATTGTTCTGCTTCGTTTGACCCGTGATACCGCCTTGCAGGAGACTCTGCTTGCGTCATCTACAAAACCCACGTCATTGCCAGCGACGTAACCGCGAGCCTATTCTGAATAATTCTCGGTAATCTAATTCGTGAGCGAGTGGTGCGGCGCGGGGCCCGGCGTACGCGCCGTCAGACGCTAAAAATATCTGTAATCGTCGGTGGGTCGGCGTAAAAAATCCCGCCGCTCGGTGCGAACTATCGATACAGATAGAAGAGATCTATTCCATATCTACATGGTCGAACGTACCCGCTGATGGTGGCGTCCCCTGACGGGGGGTTCTGCTGCGATAGCAACGTCATAGATATACTCCCATAGATCCATCCTCATAGATCCACTGGTTACGGCCAAAGCATCGTCGGAATATAATGCCTGAAGTCACAAATATGAATAATTGCATGTGGGGGTTACAATAATGAGGTGGCTCTATTAATTGTGGTGACGCTATCACATGTTCCGTGATCATTTAATTGCTCACGCGAGCGCAACACACACGCACACACACAACGCAGCGCACACACACACAAACACACACAACAAACACACACACACGCACACAACACACACATCACCAACACGCCACGCACACGAACACACACGCAAAAAACACACACACACACACAACCACCAACTACCACCACACCCACGCACACGCTCGCTAGACGCACGGTATCAACACACGACACACACGCGCTGCCGCACACACAAGCCGCACACAAACATTGCACGCACCACGCAGGCAACCCACACGCACCCACACTACACAAAGTTCACCCAACACAATGCACTGTGCACGCACGCCACGCACGAAACAACCGCAACAGCACGCACGCACGAGACAGCAACACACAACACACACACAACACAACACACACAACAAACCACACCTAACACTACCACATCCCACACACACATGGACTCCATCACTCATTGAGAGCCCAGGAAACCTCGCGCAACGTTACGTCTCTGATAACATACATGAACATTTTTTCCTCTTCAGAACGAATGCGATTTGCAGTCTCGAAAAACTTGTTACGAGGACGTACTTCACGCACAAGAAGTAATTTCCTATCTAACCGGATGGCGATGTGGGAACTAACATCCAGGCTTGATGCTACCTACGCCAAGATGCCGGTGATCAGAGAGGGAGGATCAAACGACGCCGCACTTACTCCCATGCGATATCACACGCGATAAACCGTACAGCACAAGGTCAGCACAAGGTCAGCACAAGGTCAGCACAAGGTCAGCACAAGGCCAGCATAAGGTCAGCATAAGATCAGCACAAGGTCAGCATAAGGTCAGCACGTTAGCAGACGACTCTCTCTCTATCTTCTAACCACGTTCATCATCACCGTGCCGCGGCCATCGTCCCTCTCACTCACGCTTAGCTCGCCCGCGGAGAGACACCTATAGACACCTATAGACAGTTATATACAGCTGTAGACACATATAGACACCTATAGACAGGTATATACAACTGTAGACACCTATAGACAGTTATATACAGCTGTAGACACCTATAGACACCTATAGACAGGTATATACAACTGTAGACACATATAGACAGTTATATACCGCTGTAGACACCCATAGACAGTTATATACAGCTGTAGACACATATAGACACCTATAGACAGGTATATACAACTGTAGACACCTATAAACAGTTATACACAACTGTAGACACCAGGTCCTATAGACAGTTATATACAGCTGTATACACCTATAGACACCTATAGACAGTTGTATACAAGTATAGACAGCTATAAACGTCTATAGACGTCTATATACATCTCTAGAGACCTATAGACATCTATAGACACCTATAGACACCTATAGATAGTTATATACAGCTATAGACAGTTATAAACGTCTATAGACATCTATAGATACCTATAGAAAGCTATACAAGCGATATACAGCTATGGATAGCTATACTCTATAGACTCTATATAGCAATCTATAGGCAACTATAGCTAGCTATAGATATGATTTTTGTAATAAATTTAGTTTACGTTCATCGTTCGACTTCGCGCGCGGTATTGCGAACGTCGGACGTCTTTCCCGGTGCGTCACTTCCTCTGCTTCCCCTACCTTCCCCCGGCGTACAGCGTCGCGGGAAGATACCAGAAGCTAACGAGAATGCACGCAGCAGCAAGAGACAACGTACGAAACGTCAATGACCAGTAACTTCCTCCCCCCCCCCCTCCCTCCCCGCGTAATTTCCCCCTCTCGAGCATGCTTTCGCAAACACGTCACGCCTCGTGTGAATCGCTAATACTATATACGGATTTTGTTGACGCTCGTGCGGACGGAAAAGAAGATAAAATTGTGTACGATGTTAGAACAAGCTACGCCAATCTCGCGAGAGAATTGCGCTATTTATGATTGATTATGAAGAGTGTTTAGTCGTTGTTGGGAAATCTTACGCGAGGAAAGACAGGAAGGCAACCGTGTCGACTAATTGGATAGTTACGTGACCACGTGACAGTGTTAAAAAAAGCATCGTGCTGTTTTATTATTAACTAGACAGCTTTCATGTTTACTTATACATATCAGTTATTGAGTAATCGTTAGTTTTCTTATAGTTCATTGATCACGCAGCCTTCAGGATTTGTTTGAACAGGTATCGTTCTTGCTCACCATATAAAAACTTGCGTATTCGCACATGACCTATCCGATGGACGGACACAAGTTGGGGTTGACATTTTCGAATATGTTCACTTTTAATTGCTGCAATATTCTGTAATATTTTGTGGTCAATCGAGATCGTTTTCTTAGAGTTAGATAATATTCATAATGCATATCATCTAATTACGGATGTTAACAGGCAGTCCGTTTCGATATATTCGAGATTGACTACATAGACTATACTCGCAATTATATACATAAATATATACGTTTCGTACATGGGTTATCTACTGCACAGTGCTATTTCGAATAGCGTGAGGCTACATTAGGCCCCACGGCTGCTATTCGTTTGCTTTGTTGTATTTCTATGCACGTATTCTTTGGGGATTCAATATAGCACCGAAAACGCGGTCATATTCTCGCTATCGTTAACTCTTTGACATCGCCGTCATTACACGGACGACGTTTCATCAAAAATTATCCGACAGACAACTTGTGAAATGCGCAAGTAATGATGTAGTAGTAAGGTACGTGTGGTAAGCCGTAATGAAAAGGTCAGCGTTTTGGCACAGTAATGTACAAACGACCGTTCTGTAAAAATAAAGATGGCGGTGAATAAAGGATTTTTTTTCGATAACTCTTGAGCGCATATATTTGTCAAACTTGGTGCTTTGGAGCTATATTTTATACTATTACACTCTTTAAAATTTATTATTATTATTATTTACAATAAATTTATATGTTATTATTAAAAATACGATAAATTAATCTCTATGAGATATGGTATACGTTCCCGAAAAGCTCTAACACTTGGAATGTCGAGTGTGGAGGAGCTCAGTAATTGGGGTGCATAATACAACACAATACTCGATAATAGAACATAACAAAACATAACACAACACCATACAATTAAATAAAACAATATACCGTGATATACACAACGCAAATAAATTTACGTCCTATAACCGCTGAGCTCGTCTCAAATTATTTAACTTTTTTTCTTCCTGCTTTTTCTTCACTTCTTTTTCTTCCTCATCTTTGTCTTCACTCTCGACGATACAGTCATTAACATTATCATCATCATAGTCGTCCCAGCAATATGTCACGTGTCCCTGGCACATACTCGAAACTAGATCCGACCTAATTTTCGTAAAGAATGTGGCCGGATATATAATTAGACGCAATAGCATCACTTCTGATCAACATTTATACAGCCGCCGCACATCGCGACGCGAGCGAATAACGGTATCGGGCATTTTTCTATCGATACTCTGTATCGATGTGTTTGCAAGTTATACACCGGAGCGTACTACACACACACACGTGCGCACGCACACACACGCACATACAACACACACGCACACACGCACACGCGCGCATACAACACACACACGCACATATAACACACACGCACACACACACACACACACGCGCGTACAACACACACCCGCACATATAACACACACGCACACACACACACACACACACACACACACACACACACACACACACACACACACACACACACACACACACACACACACACACACGCGCGCGCGCGCGCGCGACTACGTCCGACCGTCCGCGTCGTCGTACGACGGACGACGGTCGTAGTACGGTAACGGTACGACGGTAGGTA